GGGCCCAGTGTGTGTAGAGCCGGGTGGGAACAGCCTTGCTGCCGGAGAAGGGGCTGGGCTCCAGTAGGAGCCTGAAGCTGTGCTGGGCCAGCAAGGGTGATGAGCGTGTTAGGTAGCCCCGAGTCACCTGCACATAAAACCCCTGGAGGCCACGCGTGGAGTGTAATGGGATAAACGGCAACAGGAAGTTAGGAAGATTCCTTGGAAGGGACAGGGTACCTAACTGCCCCTCCCAAGGGACAAGGCTACAGGTCGGAGACGGATTTGGTGGCAGCAGAGAGGAGGGGTCCTAGCCTTGCTCTGGAGGGTACGAAAGGTGCTGGTTGAGAGTAGCGCCATGATTCCTGCAAAAGGGTTTGTAGTGTTTGTCTCCTGGTCCTTCATTGGCAACCTGACTGTCCTCTCCAGGCACGAGGCCATTTACTGATGTGAACAGAGGCCAGCCTTTCTGTGAGGTCACTTTCAGAATAAACAGACATGTAAACAGAGGATGACAGACCACAGGGGCAGTTGCTATGACAACAAGACATCCATCATAGCAACCTGTGGGAAGGAGCAGGGTCTGGCAGGGGATCCAAGGGACCAGTGACAGGGATCTGGGCAGGCTGTCATAGGTCAGCACCAACCCTGCTGGCATGTTTACTCTATAGAGGCGGGCCGGGAACCTTGGGCCGAGCTCAGGGCCTCGGGATGGAGTTGGAACGTGCAGAACTCTAAGCTCTACCTGTCTCCCTAGAGGGCAAGCCCAGCCCACAGCTGTGCTGCAAGTGGCGGACTGGTAGACTGGTGTCCTCAGGGAGGGGTGGAGGGAGGGAGGGAGCTGTATCCACACACATGTGCATCGGGGGTCTGCTGCTGCTGGGCGATGCTAAATATATAGCGCCTGCATCTTTCTGAGCTACCTGCAGACTCCGGGAAGGGAAGGAAGGCTGTCAGGAAGAAGCCTGCGTTTCTAATCACGGGGGCTCTTGACAAGGGCATGGAGGAGGGACAGCAGCAGCGTCCACCTGCCAAGCCAGGTGCAGCAGCGTTCACTGCCCCACCGCGAGCGCGTGCGCGGGCCCGGGCCTGTGGTGGTGGTGGTGGGGGGGGGGATGGCTTGGGCTTACTGCGTGGTGGATGATGGGTCAGCCTGCTTCCTGGCAGCGGAGCCTCCCCCACCCCGCTCCCCACTCCGGGCGTGGTTAAGGCTGGTTTGCGGTTCTGGGTCGGTGACTTTCCTTAAAGCCGCTTCTTCCTTTTCCTTCCGGAGCCTGGATGCGCAGGAGCGATTTCCTGTTCCCGCCAGCAGAATGGAAAGGAAGGAAAGAGAGCATTGCTCATTTCTGTCTGCTGGGAGGGTGGGCTGGTGAGAATCCCCTGCCAGACCAGGGCTGTGTTTCTTCAGGGGACGGTTTCATAGGGGACAGTTGGTTACCCTCAGCTCCTCCCTGGGATTTCTGGCTCTGCCTTCTTCTCTGACCTTAGGACTTACTCCGTGGCAGGCCTCTTCTCAGCCTGCACCAGGTCTCCGGGGGACTGGGTTTATACCATGATGTGATTTTTCTTAGCCAGATGCCGGGGAACACCGGTCACTGTCCTGCACAGCTCCCGACTCCTTTACAGCTCCAGGTCAGAGCCTGGCTCCTGCCCAGCTCAGGCCACACTGTCTCGACCCCAGCTTCCCCAAAGTGACGGGCCTGCCTGGTGTTTGCACGGCTCCAGCGTCCGCACCCTGTCCCCATGCTCCAGGCTGCCGTTGGGAGCATCTCTGCCTCCTCTTCCCGGTGGAGATGCACCTTCCTTGGGGGCTCTTCCTCGCCACCCTGGAGGGCCAGGTGCACCTCTCTTGCAGCGGGTAAGGGATTCCCCCTCCACTCAACTCCAGGCCACCACTGCCCCCGACTCCATACCCTTCTGGAAGCGCCATCTGTAGCCAGCAGCTCTGGCCTCCTGTTGCGACTCCCTAGTCTGTAAATTATCCCGCGGCTTTAATTTTCCTTGACCCGGTCTCCTTTCTCGCTTCCTACAGCCCGGCTCACACTCCTGCCATTTATTCAGCCAGATTAATTATTCAACAGCCTCGGTCCCCCACTCAAGTTCAGGACTTGACCTTTTTAGTAAGGACCCAAGTCTGGCCCCACCTCCTCCAAAGCCCATCTGCCTCCTTGTCTCCCGGTCATCCGAGCTACACTCTCAGCCCTGTATTTTTATTTTTCTATCTCCCTTTATTAAATCATAAGCTCCGTGGGGACAGGGACCTGCGATCATGTCCCCGGCACCCTGCATTGTGCCTGTGATGTCACACATGGTTAAGAAAGATTTGTGTCCGGGTGTGGTGGCTCCCAGTTGTAATTCCAGCACATGGAAAGCTGACAGAAAAAAGATGCTGAATAGTTAAGGCTAGCCTGGGCTACTGAATGAGAGCCTGGACCAGAAACCAACAAGAGACAAGAACGTGTGTGTTAAATCCATAAAATTAACCAGCAAATCCAGCCGAGGTGGCCGGGAATGGAACACCCTTCCTGGAGCTGTGGAGTTACGATCTCTAAAAGCTTGCAGTCTGCAAGTTGAGCATAGATCCCTCAGAAAGCAAGAGTCTGTTTGAATGACTCAGTTTCATCTTGTGTGGAGGAGTGATCTTGGCCTTGGGGAGGAAGGAATTCCAGGTTAATCACACTCCCAGCTGCAGTTTATTCCAGATCCATGGCTAGTAGAGCTCAGCAGACAGTCTTTGTGTCTCCAAATTGCTGCCCGTCGAGGCGGGAAAATGCCGCCAGTCTGTGCTCTGCATTTCTTTTACTCGGTGGGACCAAGGCTTTTCCGTGTCAGGGAGATTGAGAGATACGGCTTTGAAAGGGTCTGATTCATCCAGCCATTGTTCAGGAGGACTGGATGGGCGGTTAACCCCGGCGGCGGCAGCTTCCGATAGTGATCGACAACTGTAATGGAGACGGGAATTACGGGAGGGCTTTGGAGAGTCCGCGGAGCAGTGATGAGCTCTCACTCTGCTCTCCAGTCTCCTGTTGTCTGTGGCGATCTACTTATCAGCATGCAGACCTCAGGACAGGTTACTGCGGCGTTATGCTGATGACAGGCTTTCACTAAATGCCCCTTGGTCCTTTGTAGGCCCAGGAGCTGTTTGGCGTTTGTGACACTCCCCCGCCCCCCCCCCCTGCCCCCAGAGATGACTTCAGATAGATTCTTCAGATTTCACTCTGTAGTAACACCTGTAAGATGAGTCTGGTGGGCCGGGACCACTGTGCTTTGCAAGAAGATGCAGAGAAAGGGTACAGATGGCCTGTTTCCTACAGAGCTTGTGTTCTGCGTTAGCTTGGACTGCGCTCAGAGCATCCATCTTGGTATCTTTCTTGGAGCCGGCTGGACCTGAGCTTAGTCACTGGCTTCACCAGCTGACGCTGATCATCCCCCCCTCCCCCCAAATAGCCACATTGACTTGTTTAAGAAACACTTGTCTTGCACTTGCTGCTTACCCGGCACAGTGCTCAGCGAACGTTAAACACACTTCATTTTGTGCGCCAACCTTGCGAGAAGGTGTTGTTTGTCATCACGACCGACCATGTTTAGAGACGAAAGAATGAATCCGATTCCCCAGGGAAGTTGAAAAGCCAGAGTTCCAAGCCAGGGAGTGCGGCCCTGGGTCCTCACTTTGTCCTGACCCCGTCTGTCCCACCTTTCATCTGTCTGTGTTTGAACTTGGAATCTGTAAGATGGGGGACATTCATAACTTGGCCCATGAGCCCGGTTGAATGGTAAGAGTACCCCAAAACTACGTGAGGCGCTAGAAGCTGCTGGGGCACTGGGAGAGTCGACCTGTGGGACTGGATGAGACACCTGGGTCCTGACCCAAGTCTCCGAAGCAGGCTTTGCCCGTGGTGAGAATCTGGAAGATGGGCCACCCTCGTTATAAGCCCCAGGGCTGGTAGAGCCGAGGAGCAGGAAGGTGGACTTGCCTGGCACCCGATGACTATATTGTCGAGCTGGACACATCTGGAGTAGTCAAGCCTGCAGGGTGATCAAGCCGGCGGCGGCTGTGGGGCTCCTTGCAGAGGCCCAGCCAGCAGCCACTTCCGGCCCTGCAGATGCCTGATTAGCTTTCCATATTGTCTTTTTGTTCCTTCTCTTTAGAAATGCGCTCCCACACCTTCCTTCCATTGGGTTTCTAGAAATACCCTGCTTTTCATGACTCACTGATTGAACATATCCTGTTTGGGGAAGCATTCAGAGGAATTTCAGAGCGGGCATGTTGACGGCCAGCCGTACGTGGTGCAGGCAGGAGCCTGGCAGACGGCTCTCCCAGCCTTCTCCAAGGCCCCGCACAAGCAAGCGGGGCATCTTCAGAGGCAGTCCCACACTCTCAGCCTTCATGTCCGTGGCAATTTCCCTCTGAGTGTGGCTGTCGTGACTAATGGTCGGCCGAATCAAATTAGAGCCGGGGCTTGGAGTTTGAACCTGGCTGGGTGGGATGACCTTTTGAACCCCACAGATGGCCCGTTTTTCTTGGGACCAGGATCATATCACGGAGCAGGGAGGGGCTGTGTTCCTGGGGACAGAGCTGCTGTCAGGGCTTCGTGTGGGAGAAGAGGCGAGGAGTCCCTGCAGCCAGGGCAGGATCGCACGCGGAGCGCAGAGTGCCAGTCTTGCCTTTGGATGCCCTGATTTTGCCCGTGGCTTGCTGTTATTTCACAAGCTAGAATGTTGCTCCTGGTCGCCAAGGCTGGGTGTGTTAACTCATGCCAAAGCGATTCTCTTTTGTATAGCCAGAGGCCCTTGGCAGGCTGATAGGAAGCTGCTAGACTGGGACAGGGAGCTCACAGTGAAGTAACAGGAAGAGAAAAGCTGGGCCAGGCTCAGGCATGGAGGCGGCCATGGTGTGTTGGAGACCTGGGATGAGAACTGGCTGGATGGTGCGGTGTTGGTCCTGCTGAGTGGCAGTGTATGTAGCCAAATAGGCCGTGAGGATAGCATTGAAGAAGCAGTCGGCCATTTTGGGGGGGGGCGGTTAGGGGCTTTGAATCCAAAGGTGCCACAAGAGAGGTCTCTGCAGAAAATGGTTGAAAGGGGAGCTGCTGAGGCCTCCCCATAAACGGCGAAGGGAGCGGCCAGAGCAGGGCTGCTTAACCCGGGCAGCTGTGATTGAGAGCGGCTCCTGGCCAGGTCTGGAGACATGTCTGAGGGTCGTGGCTCAGGGCGAGGGATGCTTCTGGCATCTGGTGGGTGAGGCTAAAGATGCTCCCCAGCGCCCTGCAGTGCATGGGAATGTCTCAGCCACAAAGAAGGACGTCGTTCTGAGGTCCAAAGACCCTGAGCTGGGGAGTTTGGATGGTAGGTCAGGTTTTAAAGGACGTCCTCTGCATTCAAACTTCTCAGTCCCAGGTCTCAAGGTCCCGGATCCTTGGAGAAGAGAGGAGGGTTTTTAGTGGGCCTGAGTGTGTGTGTGTGTGTGTGTGTGTTTGAGTGTGTGGTATATGCACGTAGATGTGTTCGGTGTGCACATATGTGGAGGCCAGAGGCTAATGTTAGGCGTCTTCCTTGACTGCTTCACAGCACCTACATCCATGTATGTATTACAATTTGTATATAACTATATTATCTTATTTCTTGAGACAGAGCCTCTCACTGAACCCGGAGCTCACTGATTTGGTGAGACTAGCCGACTGGCAGGCTCCAGGGATTCGCCTGCCCCTTTCTTCCCAGCGGTGCTGAGGTTGATTTCAATTTCTCAAGGCTCCTGCCTCAGCTAGGATCACAGGCATGCATCACCACACCTGGCCATAGTTAATTATTATTTGCTTCCTTTTTTTTTTTCTTCAAGACAGTGTCTCTCTGTGTAGCTTTGGCGCCTTTCCTGGAACTCACTCTGTAGCCCAGGCTGGCCTCGAACTCACAGAGATCCGCCTGCCTCTGCCTCCTGAGTGCTGGGATTTAAGGCGTGCGCCACCACTGCCAGGCGCTTTCTTTTCTTAAAATTAAAAAGGAATATTTATCTATTTTATAGTATTGCATGAGTGTTGTGTCTACATGTATGTACTTCCTTCATGCTTGGTGCCCACAGAGGGCGGAAGAGGGTGTCGGGAGTTAGGGATAGCTGAGAACCCAGGTCCTCTGCAAGAGCAGCCAGTGCTCTCCACCCCTGAGCCCTCTCTCCAGCCCCCCAGATATTATGCTCTTGAGTCTCATTCCGTGCCGGAAGACAGGTTCACTTGCTGCCGAGCACCCACGGACTGCTCCTGATCTGCCTCTCCATGAATGCTCTGTGTTAACCTACAAGCTTAGAGTGTATCTTCCTCAGAGAGCTATGAAGGGCCTTTGAGCTGAGTGTGAGCAAGATCGTTCTGAGCCATGTGGGTGCAGACAGGGCTGGGGTGCCTAACCAGAGGGGAGGGGGAGGGAGGGACAGTGTGAACAGGAGGAACAGTCTGACCTCAGGCTGTGGGGGCTGAGGAAGAGGTGGAGTCCAGGAAAAACCCCTTTCTGGTTTGAGTGGGTGGACAGTGTCAAACTGTTAAGAAAGAGGAAAGAATCTATCTTCAGCATGCTCTGATAGTTGAGCTGGCTCGGGACTTTTACTTTTCAGAAAGTCAGTGAAAATGGAGAAGTCTAAACAGGCTGGATAAGGACATTTCTCACTGATGTAAATTTTAGATGAAAATTCACTTGATGCTTTTGGCCAGCCGAAGTCAATTCTGCTTATTTCTAGACTCTGGGAAGCCTCTGCTTGGTCTTAGGGGTGCCTAGAAGGCTTGATGGTGAGTCCCCAGGGGTGAGGCCGCTCTTGCTGCTGGCCTGGTGTCGTACATTGCAGCCCACAAGCTGCCCACAAGCTGTCTTCTTCCTTCATCTGGCAGAGTGGCTGTTTTAAGATGTCCCACGTCACAGGTCGATGTGAGCATAGTGTGTGCCCATTCCAAAGCCAGAGTGCTGGGCAAAGGTAACTGTGTCGAAGGCTCAGGGTCTAACCTGTGGTTCGTGCTGCTCTGCAGACAGACCTGTGTCTCCAGTGCAGGGTTGCTCACAGAAGGAGGCAGTGGGCGTAGGGAGGAGTCACAGGTCTGCCGGGATTATATATGGATCCGTTTGTTAGTCATGTAGATCAATTACCAATTCAGATTACATGCGCGGGTCTGTGTTTGCTCCATCTAAACAACCATCTTCGGATCTTTGGCAGAAATCTGTGCGCTCTCTTGGGCGAGCCAGTTTTCTCCGCGGGTGCCTCCGGTTCCTTATGACGTCACAGAGCGAGGCTTCTGGAAGCCCCCGGGTGGTGTGTGGCAGCTTGAGTTCTGACACTGCATTTCTGTGTGGTTGTCGGTCCCTATCCGCACCGTTCTTAGACTGGGTCTCATCCTTGAGACAGTCATCCTGTCTCAGCCTCCGTGAGAGGAGAGGCCTGAGGACCTCACTTGATGGCGGCTCACGACTGGAATACACTGCAGCCCCGTTCACTTTTGTGACGCCGGGGTGGAAGGAGCCTTATGTAGCTTCACAAGAGCTGGAAGTCCCGCATTCTTTCCCCGGGATCTGCTTGACAGGCCCCCCCTCAGGATGGGGTGGGAGATCCACTGCCTCCTGGGGAGTAAGTCCACGCTGCATGGCTTGGGGAAGACCGCAGCTGGGCTTCAGCCTGTTGGCTGCGGCTAGGGAGACGTCGGTTTCCTTTCTCCCCACCCTTTATTTTGTGGTATAGTTTATGTGCGTTACAATGCGCCATTTTTGATTTTGAGAGCACTCTTGGGGAATCACTACTACAATGATGCTGTGGAGTGTCCATCACCTTAAAGGGCCCTCTCGTTGACTTGGTGGTTGCCATAGCGATTTATATAGACTGGTGTTTTCCACATGGAGGATCCGTGTCTTTTTCAGACACCACGTTTGACTCCTTCCTTTCCGATCTGTTTGCCCTTCCTCTTTTGCTCTTGCTGCCCCGGAATCCTGTAGGAGCTGTTGGGGCAGTGGGGGTGGGCTATTGCCCCTGCCTCGGTTCCCGTGCCTCTCACCGGGGTCCGCAGGGCTCCTGGGGAGGAGGTACCTCAGCAGTTTCCCACTCCTTGCCGGAGGGCCGAGTTTCTGTCATGAATGGGTGTTTCATTTTTCTCAGATGTTTCTTTTGCACCGGCTGAGCTGGCCATATGGTTTTCCCTTTTTAGCTTGTTAGTGTGGCGAGCTGTGTTTCTAGAACCTGCCGGCTCTGTGAAAGCCTTACGCAGAGGGTCGGCCCAGAGTCTGTGGCGCCGCGTTGTTGCTTGGGGATCCTTCCGCTGCATTGGCACATCCGGGGTCACTGACATCAGCCGCGCCATGGGAATACTCGCTTGTGGGGTCTGAGCTGCTGGGTTATGAGTGTGGCTGTTTTGTTACTTCAGTGTGTTTCAGGTGAAGTGACAGGGTGTGTGTGTGAGAGAGAGAGAGAGAGAGACAGAGACAGAGACAGAGAGACAGAGAGAGACAGACTAATTATTATCACAAATCAAGGATATAAGTAGCATTCATTTCTTTTATTTTACAATGAGGAAACCGAGACCCTGCCTCTCGGAAGGTCGGAGAACTCCATTTCCCCCGACAGTAGCCCGAGTACCATTCAAGCACCAACCATTTTTGACTCGTGTGAGTGGCACCAGAATTCACCAATAGCTGTTTCTTTGTTTGAATAGAGCCAACTGAACAGAGGCTGAAGTGACCTCCCCCGGGGCTTCGGGGCTGTGGAGACCAAGGTCTCCTGTTGCCAACCTGTGTTCTTTGCCGTGGCCTGGCTGCCCCTGGAAGGGTTGTGGGAAGGCCCTTGAGTCAAGATGAAAAACCAACCAGGTGGTTTCCTAGCATGATTCAGACAAGGTTTTCAGAGTTAGTCCCCACAGAGCTATCTATATTTATCCGAAAAAGCGCAGAATCACATTCCAGAGTGGACTATTATGAGCTCACTCATTTATCTTTTAGGACAACAGCCTTAATTCCGTCACGTCCCGGAAGGGACTGCCTCCTTATCAAGTAATGATACTGCAGAATTGTGGCTGGACCATGTTGATGCTTGTGTTTGTGGTTGCTTGGAGTGACAGGTCTCCTGCTGAGTGGTTGGTTATCCGGTTGCTGCCCCGGGTGCCAGGCAATGGGTGATTCTGCAATGGCTCGTATGGAGTCGGAGTGTGTGCGTCTGTACCTGAAAACAAAGTTGATCGACTTAAGTTAATGCTTGCGTGTAAAAGTACCGTAGATATCCGAATACGATATGTATATCTTCAACTCAGCCGACATAGAATAGTGAGCATCTACCATGTGCCAGGCACTGTGGAATGTGGGTGAGAGAGGAGACAGAAAGGAGTGGCATTTTGATGTAGACCTCAGACAATGGTGGTATGGGCAGAAAACAGGCGGAGGTACAGGGCTCATGTCACGGATGGACATTTGTGAGTTTCACTATGCTTCTGCTGTTGGATAGCCCTGTACTCCTGGGCCAGGTGCCTCCATTAGTTTGAATTTTCTCATAGACACAGTGCTGAAGGTCTGTGTGTCCTTCAGAGGCATTGGTGAGAGCGTCTTCCTGTCTCAGAAACGAGGCTGGAGGCCTGGGCTCTGCTGGAATGACACTTTTGTCCTGGCCAGACAGCAGGGTGAGTGGGTGGTATTTGGACCGCGGCCTCTTGGGAGCATGCCTTGGCGGGTCACAGATGGAGATCTGGCCCGGGCCACGGGAGGCGCAGGCTCAGGCTCAGGGCCTTCTCACTGTCAGCTGCCCTCCCAGCACGGAGCCCAGTGCCAACCCAGCCATTGGGTTTGGGGACAGTTGATAGATAGAGTAGTGAGCTGGGGTTCATGAGGATCTGTGACCGTCTGCTTCTAGGGTCACACGTTGGGAAACGGGGTGCTGCAGACTGTGGGTAGACCCAGAGTCCTGCAGCGGGGTGTCCGGTTGGATGGCGAAGCGGCTGGGCAGTGTGGTTCCTGGTCCTCTGAGTCCATTTGGAAGCTGTAGGGGAGAAGAGCTGGTGAGCAGACAGACAGACAGGCAGGTCACTGTTAGTCACAAACTCAGCCCCTGTGACTCTCTGAATGCCAGGCTGGGCTCAGGGGACAACCTTTTGGATAACCCTCTGGGTCACCTTTGCTGTTTCTTCTGCTCCAGCTCTTCTTCATCTTCCTCGTTTGTGGCGGGAATGGACTCCCTTCGGGCCGCATGAGGCCAGGGAGGTGGACTTCGGTGGCGTGACGGCGGTGGCAGAGGCTGTTAAATTGGTTCGAGGCCTTTGCATTTGTCCGCTCCCGCCCAAATACCACAGAGGCTCCTCACAAACAGCGAAGAAGAGAACTTTGTCCTAAAAATAACAAAAAGGCATCGAAACGTGATTGTATGCATGTGTAGAAACGCTCCCGTGGAAACCCACTAATTTGTACAATTAATATGATTGAATAATTGTAGTCTAGGAAGCAGGGGAAGAAAAGGAGGCGTAAGAGGCTTGTGCGCTTGCTTCGTCTGGGGCTCCCCTCAGTGACGGCCGTGGTGTGGCTGAGAGAGGCCGTGAGGGTTGGCTCGGTTGCGTAATGACTGGTACTCTGGACTCTGAGGATGGTTTAACGGAAGTCTTTCCTTTGGTCTCTAAGAGTAGGAACGCTTTGCCCTGGGCGAACCTTGGAGTTTAGGGTAAGGCACAGATGCTAATCACTGTTGGTGTCGGAACTCAGGTAGAAAGTGTGACTCAGTCAGGGAAGCCACTATCAGAAACCACATTTTATTGTAAAAAGCAGCTGCCTGCTGTACGTTATGCAGATGAATTTAATTAAAATACTTCCCAGCGCTGGGTTGGTAGAAGATGAAAGATCTAAGTGTGTTTTTGCAAGAGAGATCTAAGGCTAAGTTGAAGCTTGTTTGGTTATTTTTACCCAGATTAGGGTGAGGCAGAATTTATATAAGTGGGTCATCCTGGCGTGTATTCTTTATTCATCTCCTTGAAATTTGTTTATTCATGAAGCAATTTGGGTTATGACCCTCGTCACCCAGGATTCCGAATTTCTGCCTTCTAGTGCTCACAGTCTCGTGTTGAGACAGAGATTGAAACAGCAAGTAAGGTGGCCTGCTGGCTGGCGAATTGTGGCCTCCCCCACCCCCCTCCTCCCCAGTCAGAAGCAGAGATGTATGCTTTTATGAAGTAACTATATAAACTTTTCTTTAGTGAACTGGTAGAAAATTACTTGTATAATAAAGCCTCACTTGTATGATAAAGCCTTCTTAAAAGAATCGTAATGCATTGGAGTTTTGCATATTGGGGATTGAGCCATTGAAACTAGGATCCAGTTAAAATGCTTGCCTTTGCAAGACTCCGTGGATGCTGACCTGTACAGGGACCGTGGGTTCTGGAAACCCCACGAGTGAAATTCTAGGCTTCCCTGATGCGTAGTAGACAGATACTTGGAGAAGGACACACACAAATGCACATGTGTGTGGTGTGTGCACACGTGCATGCCCCCCCACGATGTACATGCCTGCACACACACACACACACACACACACACACACACACACACACACACACACGCAGATTGCAGAGCCATTTGTGACAGTTTGCACTCACAAAGTGCTTCATACACTCCAGACACCAAATGGAGTCGAAGAATGTTTGCATGAAGCCCTTCTATAAGATCCAGGGGTCTTGGTTTTTGCTGTGTCAGGGGACAGAATTGCTCCCCCGGTTGTCACAACTACAGTTGTAGCACAGTGTCAACAGTGCCTGTGCCTGCCACTCACCCCTGGGGCAGTGAGTCGGCAGTGGGCTTATCGTCTAAGGCTACATGACGTTAGGCTAGGTATGCTGGCACACACCTTCAGTGCCAACCCTCGGAGGCAGAGGCAGAGGCAGAGGCAGGTGGATCTCTGAGTTCTAGGATAGCAAGAGCTGGGGGGTGGGGGTGGGGGGGAAACTGTCCCCCAGGCCTTGTAGAAGGAAAGCATCATGTAAGCAGTATGGTTGTGTGGCCTTCTCTCTGCCAAGAATGATTCTTGCTTTACAGGATAACACTATGGTATGGTATGGTATGGTATGGTACGTTTACCAGCTCTAATTGGACCCATACCAGGGTAGGAATGGTTCGGAGTTCATGCAGCCCGAGGTCAGGTGTGAGCTTTTATGTATGGCGGCTCGGGAGGACAAGTCACTTGGCTACCTACTCTGTTGCATTATGGGAAAAACTCTGTGTGGTGGCATGTATGCGGTTCACAATAGATGTCCATGGAGGGTGGGTGTCCATGGAGGGTGGGTGTCTATGGAGGGTGAGTGTCCATGGAGGGTGGGTGTCCTTGGAGGGTGAGTGTCCATGGAGAGTGGGTGTCCATGGAGGGTAGGGTCCGTGGAGGGTAGGATCCATGGAGGGTGGGTGTCTGTGGAGGGTGGGTGTCCATGGAGGGTAGGGTCTGTGGAGGGTAGGATCCATGGAGGGTGGGTGTCCATGGAGGGTGGGTGTCCATGGAGGGTAGGGTCCGTGGAGGGTAGGGTCCATGGAGGGTGGGTATCTGTGGAGAGTGGTAATGGTATTAATGGTGTTGCTAACAGGAGCTGTGCATGCTGGGAACTGAGCTTTTCCTGGGCTTCC